TGCAGAAATAATTTAGCTAAATAAAAAGAAGTGCTGAACTTTTGATAAGCCTGACTTTCTAATTACTGATACTCATTATTTGGATTTGTCTGCAATTTTCCTTGTACTTGCTTCAGTCTCTCCCTGTCCTCATTAGCTTCAGTAAAAATGTTCTAAAAGTTTTTAGAGTGTAGATGCCTCAACTCCTTCTTCAGTAATTTCAGTTTCCTCACCACTAGGAACATCTTACAAACCTTCTATATTTACTTTCCAACCATCCTCTACTATCTCCTTGAATTGTGGGTGCTCAGCCAACACATTACAAAACTTGAAAGATTTCCTAATCTTATAACCTTCACTAAAGCTCACTCTTGCAGGGCAGTGATCACTAATTTCCTCAGGTAAAAATATAGCTTTGCAGGAAGGCATTTTATCCAGCCAGTCATTATTGATAAGAACCCAAAATTCTATTACAATCATGTTTATCACTCCAAGTATACATGTTCCCTTGAGTAGGGAAAACCATCAGCCCACAATTTGTCACACATTCCTTAAAATCTACTATTTTAGACCACACTACAGGATTTTCTCCTATTCTATTATCACCAGACAATATTGAATTGAAGTCCCCAATCACCATCCATGGTTTTACATATCTTCTACTTTGAGTACCCAAACCATCCCACAATGCTTTCCTATCCTCCCTATTGTTAAAAGCATATACATATGAAATTTCAAAAGAAATTTGGAGAGGTATGAACATTACCTCACAAGTAATCTGTTGAGCACACTTGCTAATGATTTGCACTTTATAGTAGTCAGGTTTCCAAGTTACCCATATCCTACCATTATAGTGGTACTCCAAATTAGTAGTATATTCCCATCCTACAAACATTTTCCCAGCCAGCTTTTCTATTTTTTCCCCCTCTTTATCTTTGTTTCAAGTAATCCTATCAACCCTACATATTCCTCATTGCAAAGAAGTTTGACCTCCTTTTGCTTATTTAGGCCATTTAGCCCTCTCACATTCCAGCTAAGCAAGTTAACCGTTCCCAGACCTTTCATTAGTCTGGCCACCCACATTTTCCCTACCCCTACATTATCATTCTTCCTCTGCAAAATGTGAAATGAATTTTCACTCATTACTGGAGAATTCTGCCTTGTTGGAGACTTAGGTTTCCCTATTCTTACAGGAGTTTGCCAGCCCTCTTTATTCATAATGATCCCTTTATCCCCTCTTGTGTGTTATTGAATTATCTGTGTTGGTTTCTGAACTGTAGCTTGCTTCTGCTTCACTATGCCTTTATTCATAGCTCGAATTTTGCTTGTGTTTTATGTGCACATTTTTAAAATAGTCACAAAAAACATAATAAAACGACAAAGATTGAACCTAAGTCACCTTGCTTGTGCAAAAAGCCTAAAGTAGTGCACCAAATATTTTTTGTGTTCAAGGTGCGCGCCTAATGAAATATATGACACTTATTTAGGTATATATAATGTATATATATATTTGAATATTTTTTGAAGTTAACGGGAGCGTGTACACTCCTATTCTTTCCCATGATATGTTTGTGTCTCTTGAATTTGTGGTTGAGTTAGATTCAAAATGTATTTGTTTACATGATATCAGAGCAAATCATCTTAATTCTCACTTCCGATATTGAATCCCCATATTAAATTAACCAAACACTGGATATCCAACTCTAGACATATGGAGGTGGGGGTGATCAGGGCAGTGAAGATTCTCATATGATCATCTCTATAATAAATGAGTAATCTCTTCAATATATATGACTTGTACAATTCGATCTCTTAATAAGCCTAGTCATTAGATAATCCTCATCCTGAATAAGCTAACTTTTCAAATTAAATTAGATAAAAATTTATTTTCTTAATAAGTTACCTAATTAATATTCTCATTCAAGTTACTTCCACTAGAAATCACCACCAAATAAAATAGCTATCTGGTCTTAGTGTCATCATAGTAGATAGGCATTTTGTCTTCTAGAAAATGAGTTCTAGTTGGTTAGTGCCGAAACTTATGAAGTCAAATTTGGATTTACCAATGTCCTAATTGAAACTAATTTAGCATATAATTAGTCAAACAAGTTTATCATATTATTAATTTATTATAATTTATTGGCACTTCGTTAAAGTGCCACTCACGGCAACTTGTGCACTACAACTTAATATATGCCGCAGCCCGAAAGACAATAATAAAAATCTTATCAATATCGAATATTTATATCAAGTTAATAAATATAAAACAAATATCTTAAATATATAGTATTACTATTTTTTGACATTCAACTTCAACGAAATTTTTTGAATTTAAATCTTGAAAATAAAATCGTTCTAGTTAGTCGGATTCTAAAATGTACGTATAGAAAAAAAAAAAGAATTCAAAGGATACAAATTTTTCATGAGCCTAAGATTAGCAAAAGTGAATAGATAATGAGATGTATATTTAATTTAATAATCAACCTCTAGAAGTCTTGACCGAATGATTAAATTCTTTTTCTATCATCATTTTTACAGTTTTTTAAATATAAATATGTATTTTATAAAAACTAAAGGCTGGAAGCAAACCAGAAAAGAATCATTTCTTATTTAATAATTAGGAACTACTTATTTTATTGAAACGATCAATACCTTATTTAATTAGGCAAAGAATAGTCATATATAATATAGGGAAAAAAGACAAATATATCTTCGAACTATCGTAAATTGTATGTAGATATCCTCTGTCATATTTTTGGGACATTGGTGCCCCTGCCGTCCAAAAACTAGAGCATATATACCCATTATACTAACAGACATACATGTGTCATAATCTTATCCACCGACTCGACATTTGTTAAAAATCTGATGGACGGATAAGATTGTGCCACGTGTCCCTATTTAGTCTTCCGTTAAAGTGAATGGCATATATGCTCTAGTTTTTGGACGGCACGGGCACCAATGTCCCAAAAGTATGACGGGGGTATCTGCATACCATTTACGATAGTTCGAGGGTATATTTGTCCTTTTTCCCAATAATATATGATGATTATATGTCATAAATTTGAATCGTAAAAATAGTTATTAATACTTAAATTATATTGGAATAAGCTATTTATATTATATCTCTGAAGAGACGACTCTTTTCTAAATTCTATATAAATACTACCAAATATTATATGTATTGATTATTATTTTTAGGGAAAAAGGACAAATATACCCTTAAACTATCGTAAATGGTATACAGATACCCTCCGTCATATTTTTGGGACATTGGTGCCCCTGCCATCCCAAAACTAGAGCATATATGCCCTTCACTCTAACGAAAGACTAAATAGGGACACGTGGCACAATCTTATCCGTTGATCCGATATTTAATAAATGTCGATCGGTGATAAGATTATGACACATGTATGTCCGTTAGTATAAATGGTATATATGCTCTAGTTTTTGGACGGCAGGGGCACCAATGTCCCAAAAGTATGACGGAGGGTATCTGCATACCATTTACGATAGTTCGAGGGTACATTTATCCTTTTCCCCATATTTTTAATATATGATTCTAATCATGTGAGTCAACCCACAAGGCCACAATCAATGGAAGACCTCAGTGTGAAAGGGAAGAAAGTGATTTGTTGGAGTTGAACCTTTCAAAACTCCAACTATCATTAAAAAAATAAAATGAAGGAAAAAAACAATGCAATCTTAGCCTCTTCTGCATTGAAAGTTTCAAACGTATGATCTATCTATAGAAAATTAATCTGTTGACAATATTATGAGATAAAAGATTTTGATAGGAAGCGTTCTATTTTTTTAATAGGGAAAAAGGATAAATATACCTCCGAACTATCATAAATGGTACGTAGATACCCTTCGTCATATTTATGGGACATTGGTGCCCCTGCCGTCTAAAAACTAGGGCACCAATGTCCCAAAAGTATGACGGATGATATTTGCATACCATTTACGATAAAAAAAAATTGATGACAAGGAAAACCGGCAGCCGCTACCCTTTGGGTGCGCACAGGGTAAAACCCCGCTCCTATGCAATAATTCGCAAACCACATAAGAGAGGTAACCCGCACTAGGCAAGCCCGATGTGACGAGCTCAACCCAGAAGGCAAATCCCTTGCTTTCGCTGGCGAGGGGTTTCGAACTTGAAACCTCCAACATAGAAGTCCCAACCCCAAACCACTAAGCCACCATATTTGTCTTTTTCCCCTTTTTAATATAATATTAATTTGATGTGAATTTAGATTAGTCATAGTGATAATAAAATTAGATGATTTACACAGTAATTAGTAAGGTTTTGATTATGTTTTGTCCTATGGATAAAATTTAAAGTTCAATAAAAAATTTGACGTTTAAAGTTGTGCCATGACGCAAGTTGTGGTAAAATGTTAAGACCATTTATTTTTAAAGTCATTGAGTATAATTTTTAAAATTGTCATTTATAACTCTATCCTCACCTCTCATATATTTATATAGATTACATACAAATACTTTAATTTTTGAAAAATATTCTTTACTTAAACACAAAAAAATAATTTTAAAACCTTATTATTTTTCTAAAAAATAATTTCCACAAAACCACATTTTCCTTCGATCACACCCCTAATTTAAAGAGTCAAAAGAATAACAGCTCATCATTTATCCATAATCAAGATACAGTACATCTATTTTGTCACTTTAAAAAAAAAAAATGAGTTCAGATTGTTTAAATTATTTGGTCAAACATTTTGTTTCTATGCAACTAAAAACATATGGCAACTAATTCAATAAAAAAAATGTTTTTCATCAAAATATATTCCTTCAATTTAAAAAATCAAAAGATAACATAACAGATTATCGTTAATATAATCCAAAATATGTAGGGGAGGTCCTACGAAAAAACAGCTCAACGTCAGAATGATAAAAAGCATAACACCTTTCATTTCTTTTATCACATTTTTTTTTAAATTTTGAGTTCATATTGTTTAAATATTATTTTGGTCAAACATTTTGGTTCTATATAAAGGGCATTATCAAGTAGAGAATCAATGCAACTCATAAATATGACAACTTATTCATCATGTGCAAAGAAATTACTTTTTGTCTACTACTTGTTCATCATTTCTTCTTGTTGCATATTTAATTTTTCATATGGAAGAAATTTAAATCCTAATTTCAAAGTTAAAGCTGTTAATCTTGGTGGCTGGCTTATTACTGAAGGATGGATTAAACCTTCTCTTTTTGATGGCATCCCAAATAAAGATTTTCTGGTACATTCAGATGACTGATTACCTGAATTTTGTTATCGTACTTGAGAGTTTTACTTTTATATACTGACAGTATAAAATATGACGTTGATTTTCAGGATGGGACTGGATTGCAATTCAAATCAGTAACAGTTGGGAAGTATTTATGTGCTGAATTAGGAGGAGGAAATATTATTGTTGCTAATAGAACAGATGCTTCTGGATGGGAAACATTCAAAGTAGGTACCCTTTAATTTAAGTTTTCGATTTAATTTATGTGTATCTTAATTATTTTATCGAGTATTTGTGCTACTTCCTATCAATGTAGATATCAGATAACTCGATATGTGCACCAAGAGTTAGGTAAATAGAAATAAATCATTTAGCATTTTTTGTCTGTGCCTAGATTTAAATGTTGGTGTACTATGTTTTTAACCCATTTTTTCAAATCACTGGGCCATACTTTTGGCTGTGGAGTTACAATTTTACTTACGAGTTTGGCATAATTAAATAACTTTGGCTTAAAATCTTGTATTTGTATTTAAAAATTCACTTGAACATATATAAATTATTTATTCTAAACCATTTTTTTTCAGAATTCTAAAATCATAAACTCAAAATCTTAACTTCACCTCTAATACCTTGGATTTAGAGATAGATTTCATGAAAAAATAATTTTATGATTATTAGCTGATTAATGTGGGCACACACTTTTCTATGCAGATTTGGAGGATAAATAGCACCACATTTAATTTTAGGGTCTTTAATAAAGAATTTGTGGGAATTGATGGAAGTGGAAATGTGGTAGCAGTTCAAAACAAAGCTGGAATTTCAGAGACTTTTGAGATTGTAAGAAATTCTGATGATCCAAATCGTGTAAGGATTAAATCAACAAATGGTTTCTTCTTACAGGTCAGTTTTCTTGAAATACTATTATTTTTAGTTCGAGAAATTTACATCAAATCAATATAACTTATCGTATTAAGTGATTTTTTTAATATTGGGATTTGAGTAATGGAAGAATTAGTATTGTTTGAATTATATGTATTGAGTAATGTCAACATCATGTCTATGACAAATCCCACGAGGGATTGGGTGGCCCGAGTCAGAGTTATGATCGAACATGATACATGCTTGATGGACTTAGTTCAGAAATAAAATTGCACCTTTGCTATGAGCTATAACTTTTGACATGATGATAAACGTTTGATCATAACAGTATGGCTACATGTCCATCCCCCTTTTCTTTCTTTTTATTAAATAAAGTGCGCATATTGGCAGTAAAAATATCTCCTTAACGAATATAGCTTTATTCCAAAGGACAAATTTATGCAACTTTTTTCCTTTTACAAGTGGAGAAGACTTATTCCACATTTTCAAATTAGGAGTCTTAATTATTTGTATTCAACGTTTGCTTGCCTAGTTCAAAAAAAGTAGTCTAAGTGTATCGATGGATTTTGAAGGGTAGCGTAATCGAAAAAATAATAATTTAAAAGTATGTTATATTAAATTAATTAATTTTTGCAGGTAAAAACAGAAGAGCTTGTGACAGCTGATAATGGAGGTAATGGGGGTTGGGGTAATGATGATCCCTCTGTTTTCATCATCAAAACTAGTGGAAGACTTGAAGGAGAATTTCAAATAACTAATGGCTATGGTCCAATCATGGCACCACAAGTTATGAGAGTATGTACACCTTCTTTTTTAATATATTCGAAGTTGAATGACACATTTATATATCAGAATTTTCTATAATAAACCATTCTCCAAAAAACATTTTACTATGACGGTTAAGTTTTTTTTTTTTTTTTGGGACCAATATCTTCATATTATGTTATAAAGGATAGTCTGGTGCACAAAGCATCTTGTGTTAGCATGGTGGGAAAAGGGTCGCACCCCAAAGGGTGCAATACATAGTCTATCCTACTTAGTCATTGCTTCCACATGTGGACCGTTCAATCTAGATTGATGATTCCATTTGCAGAGCCAGCTGTCGAAAGTCTTGTCAACAACCTATACTAAGCTAAGCAAACTAAAAGTTAAAGTGAATCTTTTTGGCATCTATTTCTTTGCTTTGATCTCGAATTTATTTGGTCTTCCTCTTTCCTTCGGCCCATCTATAGGTTACACATAGATTATAAATTTACTGTTACTTCAAGTCTCCTCTTCATTCATATTATGTTATATACTTGTATTAGTATGTATTTTACAACAACACTTCAATTCGCTATAGCAGTCAAAAAATATTCAGATAAACTAACAACATCATTATAAAAGAATTTGATTGTATTTAGAAATAATTTAATTTTAACTATATTCATATCATAGGAACATTGGAGAACATATATAGTAGAAGAAGACTTCAAGTTCATAGCAAGCAATGGACTAAATGCAGTGAGAATTCCAATTGGATGGTGGATTGCAAGTGACCCAACACCTCCGAAGCCCTATGTTGGAGGCTCATTACTTGCCTTAGACAATGCCTTTTTATGGGCCAGGTAATACATGTCAACTATTTACTTTATAGCCTATTTTATGACCACTATTTAAGTTATAGCCACAATCTATAAATTGCTAATGCTAACTTTATGATACGTTTGTCTGACGTTTGGCTTGCCAAGACCAAACTTCGAATATGTATATAAAATAGATAACATAATATAACATGTTAAATTTATATTAGTAGTATGAGGATTATTTACATCGTCAATATATAAAAGTTATATCTATAATAAATTGAAAATTTTGCAGGAAATATGGACTTAAAGTTATAATAGATCTACATGCTGCACCTGGTTCCCAAAATCCTTGGGAGCACAGTTCCAACAGAGATGGTACTATAGAATGGGGGAAAACTGATGACACCATTCAACAAACAGTTGAAGTAATTGACTTCCTAACAGCCAGGTAAAAACAATATCTATAAATATTTTATTGTAAAACTTCGCAATATTATCATATGCTTCATTTATTTTGATTTATTTGTCTGGTTTTGATTTGATATAAAATTTAAAAAATAAAGAAGTCTTTTGAATCTTTTAGTTTTAAACTAAACAAACATACCAAACTTTGTGGTCTTAAACATATCACGTCGAAAGTTGAAATTAAACAGTTGCCAAAAAAATAATAATTTGAAACTGTAATAGAAATGACTCATAAACTTCAAATTTTGAGTCCACCTCTGATAATTTGATGTATAAACCTAATTATATACACGTGTCATTGTTAATGAGTGAGAGAAGTATTGAAAACACTTCTAAACTCGATGCAGATTATTAGTTTAATCTCAGAATTATTGACAGCATTAAAAACAATCTTTACTTGACCAACTGAACTTAAATACACCCTCGATCTTGCAACATGAGTGAAATACACCTCTAAATTCTCGTCAAGTTTAATTTAAGAGTGTTTTTAACACGTATCTCTGATTTTTATTAAGAGTCTCATACTTCTACTAGAGTTTGAGACCACTTGCTATGTCATGTGCCAGATCGAGGATGTATCTAAGTTTAGGTAGTTGCAAGTACATAGTGTTTTTAACACTGTCAATAGTTCAGGAATGAAACTAATAATTCGCATCAAATTCAACTCTTCCATCAACAATTATAAGTGTATATAATCAAGTTAAACTTCATTAAAATGACTAATCCTTTTCTTATTTTTTTTAATTAGGTATGCCAAGAATCCAAGCCTATATGCAGTGGAGTTAATCAATGAGCCATTAGCACCTGAAGTTACATTAGACATGGTCAAAAAATTGTACCAAGATGGATACAATGCTGTCAGAAAACACTCTTCTACAGCATATGTTGTAATGTCCAACAGATTAGGATCTCCAGATGCAACAGAACTTTTGACATTTGCAAGTGGCTTAAAGGGATCTGTTATTGATGTTCATTATTACAACCTATTCTCTGACATATATGACAACATGTCTGTCCAACAAAATCTTGATTATGTCAACACTAATCGTACTGCTCAACTCAATACTGTCACTCAATCTAATGGTCCTCTCACTTTTGTTGGTATGTTTTCCTTTTTTTATCTTTTCATTATCATGTTCTAGTACATTCTCCGCAGAATTCTAGTAGATCAGTTGGTTGATTATTTAAATTTTCTTTTGGTTTATCACCTAGCATGTGATATTCATATTAGAATCTGACTAAATTTGAATTCACGCATTGGAGGGCTCATTTATGGAGGTAGCGCTCCCAAGTGAATTTTTTTCCCATATTCAGGACTTGAATTTGAAAGCTCTGAAAGCTTTAATCAAGGGTAGAACTTAAAAGACTGGAGGGATCCTATACTATTTCTCACTTGATATGTGATATTTGTATTAGAATCTGATTAAATTTGAATTCGTGCATTGGAGGGCTCATTTATGGAGGTAGTGCTCCCAATTGAATTTTTTTCATATTGAAGACTTGAATTTGAAATCTTTGATTAAGGATAGAAATTGAAAGACCAGAGAGATTCTAACTATTTCCACCACAACCCAAGCTGATTACTTAATTCCTTCCTTGATTACATGACACTAATATATATAGTCCCTACCTAGCTATGTCAAATAGAATAAACTTGGAGCTTAATTTTAGGGTAATCTAAAGTTGCATCATATCTTTTCATAAATATAGGGTGGCAAAATCAACTCAGTTAGAAGTTAGTATGACATGTAGTTTAAATTGATCTATATATAAGAAATTTTTGTTAAAATATTTTTAAAAACTCTATTTTCATGTTTGATATGTTGTACTCATAATAAAGAAAAAAAAAAATAGACTAAATTTATAACAAAATTAAACTTGATAAAAGTTAGATGGATTATATTGGTGATGGTCTATTGTTTAGCTGACTCAATCCATTTCAGTTCAAGTAACTTTGGGTAGGTTAACGATCCGTCCATTTATTATATATATCACAAGATTGTATGTTTAATTAAATGAGGATTAATATATTTTTCAGGGGAATGGGTTGCTGAATGGCAAGTTAGAGATGCAACAAAAGAGGATTACCAAAAGTATGCTAATGCTCAATTAGAAGTGTTTGGACGTGCAACATTTGGTTGGGCTTATTGGACATTGAAAAATGTCAACAACCATTGGAGTATGGAGTGGATGATTAAAAATGGCTATATCAAACTTTAATCTATTTTGATTAATAATAATATTATTATTCCTATTATATCATAAATTTTGAGGAAACACCTCAAGTGATCAACTTCTTGTTATAACATTGTGGAGATCTTCAATAACAAAGATACATCATTATAAATGTGTAGCATTTATCTTTACATTTAATTAATTTCCATATGATACTTGTTACTCCCTCTGCCTCAATGTATATGATATAGTTCAGATTTTGAGAATCAAATACAGTAAAATACAAACAATATTTCTATACTATCATTTGGACCTTTATTGGGTATTGTGCACTAAAAAATAAGCTCCATAATATGCTAATCCAGATCAATTATATTCTATACGATATAAATATCAACTATCAAATGAAAAAATGAACGAACAAACAACTAAGGAGACAGGAAGTGAGAAGTGTGGGGCCTGAAAAGAAATCATGAACTCCCAAGTCCCAAGTGACATATGATGAGATCTAATGAACCAATAATATTTAGTTAGTATTTACTTCAGTTCACAGTGACATCAGATCTATGTGTAATATCTTATTTACTTTAAATTAAACATTATTCTCTTTTATTAAATTAAATTTTATTTACTTAGCAGTTGAATAATTTGAATTCCAAGGATATTATGAACCAAGTAAAATGATTTACTGATAATCCAATAGAAACTAAATAGTACTTATATTTGTTACTTTTTATATATATATAACAAAAAAATTGTTCACGCATGATTTGATGTAATCATGTTAAGAAAATAAAACTTTTTTTTTCGGTTACAAAAAGAATCACATATTTTATATTGAGAAGATATTAACTATTGTAGCTTTTTATTTAATCAGTTTTACCTATGCTTTATAGCTTCTAAATGTCATGATATGTTTAAGATTATAAATTTAAAAAAGAAAGACCATTTCATAGTTGAACAGATTTATTGTTTACTTTATTTAACTAATATACATAAATTATACACAGTTATACACATATCATACATTATTCATTATTTAGATTAATTCTCCCAAAAAAAAATCTTAAATCTTATATTCTATCAAAGATAATGTCACATGAAATGAAATGAAAGTGACTACTAAAATATAAACAACTAAATATATATATTGAGTGGTCCAAATTATTTCCTTCCTTTCTAGCTCTTAGTTTATCTTCCCACAATATTTCCTCACACTCTCACTCCTCCTCCTCCTCCTCTACCTCTTTCCTTCTCCTCCTTCTCTCTGCCCCCACCTTCCACCCTTCTTCGATATCGATAGCAACTCTCACTGAAGTAATTATAAAAATTGTTACACTAATTGATTATGTACCTTCTACCATCTTGAGTTTTGAATTCTTCTCACGTTGCTCGCTCTTTTCAACCTTGTCCAACCTCTAGCAAAATAAGAAAACAAATTACCCTATCAAATTTTTATTTTTTTTAAAAAATGATGCTAGGAAAGAGGGCAAGGCCACCAATAATCAAGAGAACAACAAGTATGACAGAATTCACCTTAGATCCTACCCTTAATTATCAACTTGATCATCATACTCCACGATCCAACGGTCAAGATCAAACTTTGTTATTGACTCGTAGAAAATCAGCTGATTTCATTGAAACTTCTCATTTTCTTAGATCTTGCTCCCTCTGTGAACGCCACTTAATCCCCGGTCACGATATCTACATGTACAGGTAATCTATCTTATTTTAATGATGATAAATTGATCTATAAATATTTTTAAATGACCTGATAGTATAAACAAATTTATATTAATTTTTAGATTACTAATCTTACTCTGTGTTTTTTCTATACAACTATTGTCAACTCTGTGAGTCACATATTAAAGTTTTTCTATAGCCGATCATTCTGTAGTTATATTAAAAGTGATTTAATAGTCAATTATCATGCAACTATATTTTAAAGTGATCTGATAGTGTAAAAAGAATTATTACGTATATTGAACTCTTTACAAATATATCTTGTTTTTTTAATTGATTATTTAATAAGTTTATTTGCATTTTTTCTTTTTCTTTTTCAGAGGAGATAGTGCTTTTTGCAGCCTAGACTGTAGAGAAAAACAAATGAATCAAGATGCAAGAAAAGAAAAGTGTACTTCAAGTGCTACAACTAGGAAGAAATCTACAAATTCATCCCCTTCTGTGGCAAGCGGGATGGAGTCCACCATTCCGATGCCACAGGCTAGGCCATAACCGCCATGTGGATTATTATGTTGTTGAGATTAGAAGGGAAAAAAGACAGTCTGATGTACTAAGTTATGTTGATTTTTCAAATGCCCACTCTTCTACAAACTATAAAATCTATATATATGTATATAGATGCATGTGGGACTAAGATGACATATGAATGTGTAAATATTTTTCTATCAAATTTCATGAGTTTGGTGGTCAAGTTTTTCATTTTAATGAAGGATTGATCCAATTTTAATTTTGTGCAATTTCTATTTGAAAAAATAACCATTTATTTGGTAGAAGTTTAGGGGGTGTTTAATTTATTCACTCAAATTGCAACTATGTGTACTGCAACTTGGAACTCTTTAAAAGAGCTTTTAGAGAGTGATGTTCATGTAGCATGTCACATCGGGTATTTGAATATAAATTTATGATATAGTTTGGGATATTTTGTGAACACATTATTAATTTAGGTATGAAACTTGTGGTGATAATTTAGGGATTTTTTTAGCCTATTCTCTATATAAAGAAGATTAGGATGAACTCCCTTATATCCTTAACTTCGATCCATCCATGCTAAAGTGAAAGCTAAAATCTTTAAATTTATCGTCGTGACTCATGAGAGTGGCGATGTCTGTAATTGACTTATATAAAGAAAATAAATTTTGAGTCTAATTTTACCTCAAAGAACTAAGCTCAAGTAGTGATAATTATTGTAAAAACATTGACCTATTTAGCATGCCGATATTAGAACCTTGTTAGCATGTCAATATTAGAATCTTGTGTCTCAATCTTTTCGACTTTCTTTGATGTCAAAAATCAATGACTAATTAACCAAGAAGATAACTATTCTTATATTCTGAATGAGAAAAACGAATTTCAATTCGAGGGTAAACCGCCAATAGAAACTTGCTAGAGGACGAACCAAAAAAATACGATGAATATATTATCAATCTTTTTGCTATATCCCAATACCAATATCAATAATATGACCTTAGGCACATATACGGTATACCATACTAGAAATATAGATTTTAGGTTTGATCCAAATTTAAAGGTTAGCTCAAGTGATGAATAATTGTCTTCTAAAATATATATATGACAGAAAATTCCATCTCGAATTGAAATTCACTATAATAATAATATTTGTTAAAAAAAATTGTGATAACCAAACAACAAAAATCTCATGCTAATCTAATTAAATAATAGGTTATTAAAATGATTAAATAACTAACAATTTTCATCGCTAATTTCATATTTTCTAACCGTGATTTGGAGACTTATCCTGGAAGAGGTCCATTTTTGCATGACAATTAATTAATACTATATTGCTCACAGAAGTGGATGAGATTTAATGGGAATAACCTACTATAATATGATATTTATAATTTTAAAATATAATATTTTTATAATTATACACCATTAACATACAAAGACGATGACCTGATAATATGAACTTTTTTTATTATAACATTGTCTATAAATCAAAGTTCAATTATTTTATATATGTCTCTTGTGATTGCACCAACTGCTATCAACGGATTGGTGCAGATGGGGTTGCTCCTTCCGTAATTAGAGGTCTCGATTCGAATTTTGAGCATAAATTTTTTTTAATATGGAGCACTATTCTCGAATATAACTTACATAGCGTGAATCAGAATAAGTCAGACTTTAATACGATATATAAAAAATAAAAAATAAAAAATAAAAAGTGATTGCACCTCCTCTTCTATTTGGTGGTCCCCCACCCCACCCCCCGGGCTTCTTCTGAAACCACAAAAATTCTGATTGCTTTGTTTTCCCTTTAGCGTGCCACTTTGGAATCATTCACATTATATATTTAAAGAATTAATTGCTCTTTAGGTGACTTTGGGTCAAATATTTGATTTTAGACCTCATACATAAATGTGCTTTTTAAGTTGGTTTTAACTTTTAACTGATATTTATATTTTTCAATTTAAATGTGCACAAGTAGATATTTAAATTTAAGGAAGTGCTAAATGGTCAGAAAATTTGGCCAGAAAAATAAAAAAACTATAATATTTTTTTTATTTTAAAATAAACTGATATTTTTTCCATTTTTTAGTTAAAAGGTAGTAAAGTTAAAAGGGTAAAAATGTTTTCAAAGGTAAAATATCATTCTGGCCAAATTTTATGGCCAAAATTTTTTTCCTTAAATTTATATAAAGTTGAAGTAGACACACGTGTCCTACGTAGCATTCTGCAAATCAGTTTGATTGTATCTCACACTAATTATCACGTAAGATGCGTGTGTCTACCTATTCAACTTTATATAAATTTATGTGTCTATTAGTGCACTCCCAAAATTGAATAACTTAATTAATATCAGCTGAAGTCAAGTTAAAAAAACACATTTATTATGCCTCAATTTTATTTTATTTACAAGTAAGAACTAACAATTGATTATAGTTAAATCTCGATAAACATTAAAATACTTTATTAATCCATCCATGCAACTTGCAAGTGGTGAGGGTCACGGACTGGCCAAATTGGAAAAGGAATTTTACTACTTGGAATTATTCCTTCTTTAAAAAAATTGTAAAACTAAAATTCATTCAATTTTATCAACAAAAAAAAGTTTTGGATCAAAACAAACTTACTTTCAATTTTCACAATACACAAAAGGAAAATCTTTTGCTTAATTAGGTATCTGATATTTGAAATTTACTAGTTCGATTAGTTTCAATTTCTGTTGAATAGGTCCATTAAAAGGATAAGACAATATTCATCAAAAGATTCTTCATACTATGGCTTGAATTTGACAAGTTCAGTTATTTAGAGTGAAAGAGATATAATTTTAACCATCTTATATTATCGTTTTAAAAGATCGGCGTAATTATTACTTTACTAATAAAAATACTATGTAAATTCTTCTCATTTGTCTTAGTTTTAATAAATAAATTATCTAGTACTTGTTGCCGATGGAAGA